CCACTGGCAGTTGTGGGGACTCTGATCCTAACCACGCGGGAGTGAGACCATCTGGAGGGGCACTGACAGGCCAGCGCAGATGGGAATGGATTGGATTTCTCCAATTATTTACTGAATTACCTTTCAAATTAAGCTAGCAATTCAAGTAATTCTAGAAACAACCTCAAGGTCTGACTGCTCCATGGCAAAACAGAGGGGAGCTCAGAAAGAGAACTGTTTCAGCGCCAGGCTCACAGGAGAACCGCAGCGGCAGCCAGGTGTCTATGTCCCTGCTGACACAGCACCTTATAGCAGCTCACTTGAATTTTGCATCTGCACTCCACGGGGGTTTTAGAACAGATCAGGCAGGCTTGGTATCACAGACATCAAAGGGCAGAAATCAATGCTGTTGGCAGAGCATTCTGCCTCTCAGACCCGGGAGGAATGGAACTGGAGACTCCAGTGTGCTCCAGCAGAGCTCAAACTGCCGTACCGTTTCCACAGCAGCACAGCAATGTGTTCTCGGCACCCGCTGAACAGACCTCTCAACCCTTAACGTGCTCCCAAAGCCAGCTCAAAACAGTCCAACTCAGAGGTACACTGCAAGGACACCGCTTCTGAGTGGGGGAGCCCTTGGGGACAGGGCTGGATACAGATTACCGGCAATGCATAGCTTATCACATTGCCAGGTGTCAGTTTCTGCAATGCTAAGTGAATGCTGAAAACAACAGCTTCCTAAAAGTTAAGCAGCAAGAAAAAATCAAATTAAATAGTTAACATCCCAAGAAATAAATGGTGACGAGCCCTGCCTACAAGTGATGTTGGCTGCTGAGGCCTGGCAGAGCTGGGAGACAACGCTGCCTCGGCTCAGGAATTCTTTACTCACTGTCAGTTACATATTTCTTCTTGTTTAAAAATGTCACTACAGATTCCCCCAGCTTTAGCAGAAAATTAGTTTCTCTAGACTCCCAGAGTGAAAGCCCTCCTCAGACCCAGCTGATCCAAATGCTACATTATTTTCATCTCTCCCCTTAAAAAAAAAACCAAAAAAAACCAACCAACCAACCAAACAAACTGCAACTGTAAATATGCAGACATGCAAGTCTTCCATGGCAAGGAAAGAAAATAAAGTTGAAGAGATCATGAGAAATTTGGTCTCACAGGTCCCAAGCATCACCAGCAGATGACACAAAACATCTGAGCTTTCCTCCCCCTACCTTTCCCCTTCAGAAGCCCAAGTCCTACTGTATAAGAGAGGCATGGGCAGCCCTAGCAAATGCCATCTTTGAGAAAATCCAAGGAGCTCAGGGCAGAACTTCAGCAGTGTGAGAACATGCAGAGAACACACACTAAACGTATTACATTTCAGCCCATGTGCGCAGGAGGGATGCTGGGTTATGAGACATTGCACACAGAGCAGAAAGCGCGTGGAAAGAGGATCCCAGGCACCAGGTGGGAGGGATCTCTATGGACATCCACAGCCCTACCTCCCACTTGGAGCAGGACCATCCCCAATACCAGAACCATCCCCTCCCTGGGACTCTTAACTGGATGGTTCCTGTTCTTTGTGTATGGTTGCTAACAGCTTATTAAGTGCTTGGGAGTGCTGCATGGCAAACAGCCAGAGAGGAGAACAAAACCTGTCATCTCCAGGCCTTGCCTTCTAACTCAGACAAGGGAGCAAGCTCTCCTAACACCGAGGGGGAAATCAGTCCCCTCTCTCAGCTCCTAACCATCAGTGACAAGGGAACTGTGGGCCCAAGACAACGAAGGCAGCACTCCCCAGGGGAAGGTGAAAGGGCACCTCCCGGGCGGGGCCCCGCTGATGGCACCCCTGGGGCTGCGCAGGAGTTCTTTCTTCTGCACTCACAAAAGAATCCATTTAAACGTGCCTCAGGGCACAGCTTGTCACTAGATCAAGTTTGCCCTGTTAAAATAATAAATGAAGTAATGCATTAAACTGCCTTTGAGTTGAGGACGTCTCATTCATAAAACAGAAATACCAACAGCTTTGCCACCAAATCAGACATGGTTTAAAAAAAGCCCTTGCAATGGGGCAGAGCCGAGTAGCAGGGTTTCCGTGGCACAAGACACACTCTGTTTCCAAGGACAGCTCTGCAAGTCGAAATGAGACCTGACAACTTCCAGGTCAGTAATCCAACAGCGTAAACAGAGCCGACGTACCAGTACGCGCATTCAGGTTGAGCAGAGCAACGGCCGAAAGGGAACAACCAGACAAATACTACTCTGCTTTTTGAGTTTCCAGAAAAACTTTTATAATCAATCCTCCACTCCCTTCTCCTCATCTGCAGGACATGCAGAGCCCGATGCAGGCTATATTTGTGTTGCTAGCTGAAAGAACAGCATAACATGCCAAGCGTTTAATAACAAAATTCCAGCCTTGTGACACAACCCAGTAATCCCAAAACTGGAAACTAACCTCATATTTCTACTCAGCATAAAACTCTAATCCTAACAAGAGCACCACTACTTTTATTTTGCCCGAACCTTTTCTAAAGACAGGTATCTCACAAAGTAAGGAAGTTACAGTAGATCAGGTCCAACAGGGATGTGTTACCTATTTATATATGGGCCAAATTCTACAGACTGGTAGAATTATGACAACACAGAAAGTGCTAAAACTAGGTATGCCTATCTGTGTGCTCTCACAAAGAATTGGTTGTAGCTGGATGAGCTGTTATAGTGGCAACTAATGGTCCCCCACCACCTTGGGACCCCTCTCAGGACACTCCTACAATGAGGAAACAAATAGAGAGTTGCAGGGTCCTAGGAAAACCATGGCTGGGCGTGAGCATGCATATAACGATTCTCATCTACTATCACAACTGCAATTAGCAAGTCAAGACCCCAGATTCAGGCCAGGGACAAATATGCATTACAGACATGCCTAGGGACTCATTAAGACCTCTGCGAAACGGACGGAATAAACTCTCCCAACCCCCAACTGGTGCTTCAGCTACTGTTTGCCTTGATCATTTCCACCACCAGATCCCAAGCAGCTTCTCACTACTGCAGCTGTGCTGGTTTGAACACCACTCAGGTCTGCAGTACAGAATGTGCCACCGAACACCTGGAATTCCATTTTAAAACAGCTTTTACCATCACTAATCGCACAGCAGTTGTGAGGATGTGCCTGAACAAAGCTGTAGTACAAGCCTATGTTGTATCGCAACACAGGCAGCAGAATTGCTCATCTGTGTCCACTTACAAGTCGTAACAGCAGAAAAATTGTGCCACTACACGCAGTCCTGTACAGCTGCAATATGCAACACATTGAACTGCAAATGCAAGTATTTTAGGGGAAGACTGAAATAATATTATGCTAACTTAGCAGAAATAATTTGTGCACAGCATACATTTATTCCTATACCCAGACGCACAAAAGGTTTATACACCTGTTAAATAAACATCCAGTTAACTATTCTGATTATTGGCCTGCTACCATGCCTAAGTATTTAACCACAGGGTTCATGCAATTTTGTGCTGTCTTGCCCTGGCACGACGATGTTTTCTGCAAAGCTCTCTTCGCATTCCTAACTGTGATGGGCACACTTTGCAAAGACCACGATCTGGCCATATTACTGTAAAGAATATAGAGAAGCATCACTTAAGAAAAATTTAGTTTCAACCTTGACTAGGTCACCTTTTGTATTACAAGGAAAGACATTCCGTGTTAGAAACAGCCTTACGGATACACATAAAAGGCCAGTACTGAACAACTACTACACTTACTCTGCGAAATGACACCACGTAGAATGTATCTTCCCTTCTGCGAATAGCTTCAAAAAAATCTTGATAGCTCCTTGGAGAGGCATAATACACTTGCAGCTCATTCCCTGAGTTCTTGCTGAAATAAAGAAGCAGGGAGGCAATTACTTTAGACAAATAATAACTTCAGTAGGACAATGACATTAAAGACCTGCTTTTCAAAAGAACAGCAGCTCTTCATCCATTGAGGGGAGCATGAGGAACATTAAAACACAGGTGAAGACAGTGAAACTAAATTCAAGGTGCTTTAAAGGTCTTGCTGTAGGAAACTTTTCCAGGCTTGATTTTATTCACGCTTTTGAGGCTGGCAAAATCCTGCTAGCTAGCTCAACAGAAAAAAAAAAAAGTTTCAGAAGTCAACCTAAAGTGTCTGAAAAATCACGATGACTTCTGAAAATAGATGTTTTTCAAATTTTAGAATGAAATATAATTCTGAAATCTTAAAAAATTGTCTTTTTGCCTTTTTTTGGTGCTGTTGAGGATCCAAACTACTCAAATTGAAAGAAGTGCAAAGTTAAGCACAAACAGAGCTTTACACTTACTGTCAAGTGGTCACCTCACCTTCCCTCTCACACACCTTATTTTTTTTTTTGCATCTCTTTGATCACCTCAGAGATCTGATCTTGATTTTCAATTTAGACAATGGAGTAAAAATAAGATATTCATATAATCCTGGCTTATCTTTTTCACAATTCTCATCCTACATATATCAGACATGATGAGAAGACACTGTCTAAACTATTCTAAACAAAAACACTGGCAAGTCACACAGTCATGGGTCTTATCCACTGTTTGTCTTGGAAAGGTGAGAAATTCCCAGCACATATTGCTATCATGTACACTTTCCCCAACCTACTAAAAAACCCATATTTAATCAACTCAGAAAGCTGTACTTACACAAACCATTATCTGGACCTTCAACCAGTCATTTTAATTCTTCCCCACTTTAATAGCATACTGTCTGTTTGCAGTAATTGTGGCAAAAACACTGATCAGGCTGTCCCTCCCAAACTGTCTTCTGCTGACCCAGATTTTAAGCTATGGTGGCTGGCTCAGATTATTGCGGTATGTTTCTAAAATATACAAAACTATATCCCCAAAACGAGGCACAAATCTATCATCAAGCGACTTTCCTGAGCAGCAGTAATAGCAGGCTGTCATGATCTCCTCTCCTGCTGCTGATAGAGCCCCGTTGCAACCCAAGGGCTGCAGCTGCCCAGCCAGCTGCCCTTTAACAGCACTGAGGGTGTAAGTCCTGGGGGATCAAGAGCAGGCAGCTCTACTCTGTATATCCTCTTCAGCAGAACTATACAAGTGAGGAATCAGAGCACAGCCTTCACACACAGGAAACAAAGCTCGGAGCTAATTTGAGCTTGATTACTCACTCATAAAAACATGCAGGCCCACCAAAGCACCCCTGAGACTCGGCACTGAAATTTTACTGGGATAAAAGGCGTCACGCCCACGCATCACTCAGGAAAACACATCCCGAGAACTGAAACAGGTCCCACAGAACCATTTGCTCGCCCACACTCCAGAAGATACAGCTAGACCTAAAACACAGCCTTTTATAACTCTTAATCCAGCCATGGGAGAAAGATACTCCAAAGCACTTGGAAACCTCTGGGCCCTTCGAAAGCTCTCCTGGGTCCACAGAGTCTCACAATAGCCACAAAATCCAAGTAATATCAGTGGATGACTGGTATTGAACAATCCTTACCTTAGGCATTTAAGGGTACCCACTATCCATGAAAACAGGTGCAAAGCTGCCAGTTGTTACAAGAAAGCATCACATTAAACTGTGTATCCAAACAGTGGTGCTGAGCCTGGCCATTTATTGGGAGATAAATGAGTCTTTTTTGGTTTAAAAGTTTGAAGGACACTCTACTATGGATCACAGAGCACGAGGATGTTGTACAGATGCTTGCTTTAAGAAGGAATGAGGTTGTGGATACAGTGCCTTATGTACCACAAACCACAATTTTAATAGTGCAAAATTGGAGACTCACAGGTTGATATCTGGAACCCTAAATACACACTTACAGAAACCCTCACCTTCTGAAGAAAGCTAAAAAGACTGAAGAGAGTTGGGGTGCTTTAATGGTTTTCTTTGGAATCATCTTTATTTTACTCTTTGTCCTCTGCTTCAACTTCACTGCAGTACTTTTCAATTCATCAATTTTTCTTTGGAATCAAGGACCAATGTGACATTGTTGGCATCACCAGCACTACAAAGGTAGATCTAAATTCTGCTGATGTCCTCCTGTTCATGGATTCAGGTCACCAACAAGGGTGTTGCAGAAGGTAAAGGTCACTCCATTTCCAGTCACAGCACTGGTACTAAAATGAAAAGCCCTGACTGTACACTCCACAAAAAAAGCATTTGTATAATTAATAAAAGCTTCAGGACCATCTACAAATATTTATGTTGTGTATCAGGAAACTTACAAGTGGTTGAGGTTTTGGTTTTACACACTTGCAGAGACAGTGCTAGCTCATTAACAGTCCTCCAAAGGCAATGCCTCAGGGGCAGCACCAACGACAGAACGAAATAAACGGCACCTTTCATGTCCTTCCAATCGCTGGGGTACAAGCACTGCAGAGAGGGACAGGGGTTGCTGGCAGGGCTTCTGGAAGGCAACTGCATACTGGGCTGGCATTATGGTCAGGGCGTGGAGTGTAGGATGTGCAATGAGACAGGAGACAGAGGGAACTGGGCTTGTTCAGCTCGGACAAGAGCTGAGGGGGCTCTAATTACAATCCTCAGCTTCATAATGGGGGTTACAATGGAGATGGAGACAGTCCCTTCTGGTAAACCTGAAGTTAAACCTACTTTGAGAAAGAGGTTGGACTGGAGATCTCCCGAGGCCCTTCCTTTGCAACCTGAACTACCCTGTGATTCTGTGATTTCATGGAGCACCGAACAGCTGGTGGCTCTGGGAGGAACTGGAAGCCTGTTCTGTGTTCTTAGCAGTTCCAGGACAGTCACAGCATGCAGCTGCCATGACTCACTGGTCCTGTTCATTTAAACATCATTCATCCAAAAAAAAAAAATCTCACTTCCTTCTGAGAACAGCAGATTATTCCATACAGAGCTCCACGATGTTGCAGACTGTTTCTAATAATCCAGATAATTTTTTTTTAAGAGTAATGGAAGCATGTATATTAAACTGCCTTATGCCATGAGGCTTCTTCGTCCAGTCTTCAGTTAAAACAGACAGCTTCCATCTGCCTGGAGAACTAAAAAAGCTTTTTATTTTTTCTTGTTAGTCAAGACATATCGAAATTTGGCAGTCTGGTTTCCATAACATTTGCCTGCAGGTTGCTGTTTTCCCCCAGGCTGATCCTGCTTTCAAAGCCGCAATGCAAACAGAAGGGCCACAGCTGTCTTACTTTCAACAGCCACATTTCAGGTGTTCTTCACAAAAAGAAGTCCTCTTTACACTCCATTCTACTCTTACACTCCTCTTCGGCACTTCAAAGCAAAGATCCTTTTAAACACTGTCACAGGGAATTCAGGAGAGAGAATTTTCATTTCCTCAGCCTTTTGTCTCCAGTTCTTCCTGCATCCAGGAAAAGGGACAGGGCAGGTATGCAGGAGGGAGGGCAGGGGCAAGCAGGAAACTCCGTGCTATTGTGTTCTAATAATCAGCAGGGGAAATCAGGAGATGAAGACCAACCATACAAATAAGATGTCATTATACTTTAACTTTGGCAGAATTATTTGGCGCTAGCTATAATGGCTCTACTCCTGAAGACAGTGAGAGAAACCTTTTCTTACCAGACTCTTTGAAAGTCTTCTTATGCACTACTGATGTTCCCCCAAATAATCCCAAGACAATTCCCCCCTTTTTCCCCCTTAAGATTCAAATCTGTTTAGGAAGGGACCCTGCAGAGTGAAGTAAAGGTTTCCTGAAGACTCATTGGTAGAAAGACCCCAGAAAAGTGGTGCTGTGATGCCGGGGTTTCTTCAAGTGTAGTCTGAATCCTAAGAAGCAGCTATTTGCTATGGACAGAAATCAGGCCAATAAATGTAGCTGGTATCTGGCTTAAGAAGTGTGGCAACAAGGTAAAAACTGGCATTTTTTACCAGCTGTTGGTGAAAAACTAGGTTATTAAGTAGAAAGCAATAACAAAGCCATTGTTCTGCCTTACCTGAGGCTGGTGTCTGTGTAAGGCATGGCCATTAGCTGGGAATCTGCCTTCTCACTGAGGGAGCTCTGAAAAAGGGGGAAAACAAACAGATGACAAACTGAAAACAGTGAGCATTTTCTTGCTTCAGCACTACATAAAACATGAATCACATCTGTAGCAGAGTGAATACACAATGAGGTGCGGAGGTTAATCAGTGCCCCGAACAACAAATCTACCTCTTTTTCACTGGTGAAATGTGTATAAGTGAAATTTCAAACAGCAATCAAGCTGGAGCCAAAGAAAATCAAGTGTTTTAATACAGCCAAATTTAAAGTCACACCTTCAGAGACAAGGAAGTGAAGCTGGCACCAAACACAACAGTCGCACATATTGTGTCATCCATGTGAAAAATTTGATATCACCCATGTCAGGTTTGCAGAATTCTTCTGAGGTCACATCTGCTTTGTTACCGCTGCCAAAATATACTACCCACAACATACTTGTGTCCTTTGAAACACTAGAAACACCCAAACTCACCCTACTTAAATGTTCTACCATTCTCCTTTGGACAACAGTGAGAAGAACTTGAAGTTGAATAATTTTTCTCTAGAAGAGTGTGGTATTTCCCACATTGTTAAGTTAATTCCTTCTAAGGCTATTACAAGCCCTTAAGTGAAACACTTTGAAAATTCATGCTCTTAATTTCATCCTCACTATCAGTATGACATGTACAAGAAAGGGATTTTTAAAAATGGTAAATATCTTATAATTCTGTAGTCTTACCAAAAATGTATCCCTCTAGCAAAAATGGAAAAAAATGAAATAACAATATTTCAGCAAAACCAATCAGCTGTGCCTCTTAACCATGAGCCAGATGAATGTGCTGTAGGTTATATTGCTCTCCATTAACCAACTGTTTATCCTTATCCTTACACAGCCTCACAGAGAATTCACAAAAGTCATTTTAGAAAACACTCAACATATTTTGATGACTGCTAAAAAAACTAAAACCTTTTAGCCTGAAACTGGAAGAACTTTGACAACATAATAACCAACCAAAGCCAGCAATTTAAAATGGGAAGTGTTGGGTACCCTAATTACAGGCACCATTGCTACTTTTGTCTATAATGACAAGTGGAGACAAGTAAAAGAGAATATTTTGTCATATTGTCTGAAATTATCTTGTCGTGCTCTTGACTCACCAGTATAAACCTGCCTACCTGCATAACTCGTGCCTTTTGCTGCTGGTTATTTGACAGCCTCCTGGATCTTGTTCTTTCCACTTCATGTCTGTGAACCCATCCTCGAAGTTCGTGATTCAGCCTAGAAAACCCCACAGCATTAACAGCTGTTTCAAAGAACAGTGGCAGAATTTTTTTAATTTTAGAAAATAGTTTAACTAGCCACCATAAAGACAATGCAGATTCCTACTCTTTTACCTTATGACAACTTATTTTTAATATCAGAGTAAGCAAATATAATTGCAAGATTAAATTTATGAGGGAATTCATAAGGAAATATCTATACATTATTGGGATCATGGATGTTTCAACATAAAGCAGACAAAATACTTTCTTTTGCCCAGTGAACAGTAATTCTGAAATTCAGACAAATTCAAGACAAAATATTGGTTAAGGCTAAAATATGGCAAACAAATTTGAGAGAAAGAATGGACAAAGCAGAACAGAGATAAGGTTAGCGATGCACTCATATCTGGAAAAAGCAGAGCTAGGTGTTTCCTAACAGTGAATAAAGCACATCTGCAACGTCAGGTTAAGTCTGCTTGTATCAGAAGCTGAAGAGTAGGAGACCATCTTTTATGTATTTCAGATGGAACAAGCTTTAGGCTGGACTTGATTTCCATATTATGAACATTTCTATATAGAAAGTGATTTCTCCTTCAAGTCATGAAAACCCTCCAGGCAATCAGAAAACTGTCATTCAGTTATTGCTAAATACGCAGTGTGAAACTGAGTGAAAATCATTAATAAAAACATAAAAGGATAACAAAGATCCCAGTCAATTTCCTGTCTCCATGGTAGTAGGCACTGGCCAAGTATGGGATGAACAGTATGAATGGACAATAACACCAGAGCTGTCTGTCCAGTAGCACTCACTGTCCTGGTGTCACCCAACACACCATTGATACCTAAACACCTAATAAAAGCTTAAATGCTCAGAAAAGGTTGTTTGCTCACCTCAGTGACTCTGTCCGGTTGATCAGGGGCTGACAGGGGGGTGGTGGTGGTGAAATATATAACAGTGGTTCTTCTGAGACGATCATCAGTGCTTTGTTATCAGATACAGAATTATCATACCTGGGAAAAAAAGAAAGACACACCAAGAAATCCCTTAAAATAGTTTTTCATGAACCTTTTACTAAATCCAAAGAATAAGCACTACCATCATCAAACCCACAAAGGCCACAGCTGCTCCTATGGGACTTCTGAAACAGGTGAATAACAATTTCTATCAAACATACAACGGTCTCAGTCAAGTCCCCAAAGAGGGCTGATAGCACCCAACACAGGGAAGAAGACAGATGAGCATTAGCAGATGTTGGATCTCTTCCCAAACAGTCCAGATATTGAAAGAAAATGTAGCCTGTAAAATACTCCTCATAATATGTAAACTATGAGGTCTCTGCAGAGGCAACTTTCTCTTTTATTCCAGAGCCGTGCAAGATTTGCTACAGAAATACTGAATTTATTAGCCACTAAAACCCTGCAGATGTAAAGACCATGAGCTATATGACGCTGGACCAGCCACACAACTGAGTGGAGAGGATTTACATTTCCAACAGTCTCCAGAAGCCAGCTTGGCTTTGATAAAAAGTGAAAAAGAGCATGTATTCCAATAAAAAAATCCACAGCACTCTCAGCAACAAAGCAAAGAATAATACTCCTTTCCCCTGGTTATCTGTATCTCTTGAAGGTTAATTATTTATCACCAAATACCTATGAAAAGTCCTCTCTTGAAAGGGTATTAATATAACAGCCTTAGTCCTCTCAGTTTTAACAGAGACCTGCAGCTCCTAAACCTCAACTTCTTTCTGAAAAATCAGGTATAAGAGCTTATGAAAGCCTAACTCCCACTCCCCTCCCTTTCCCAGCTTTCTCTCCATGTTCATGTCTGCTTCTCCTCTTTGCTGCATCTAGAACTGATAAAGAATATGCAGCAAAGCACTCACTGCTTGCAAAAAAACGGGGTGAAAGAAAAGGAGGGGGTACAGGCACTAGCATGTCCTCCCAAGAGAACCACTCCACTACTGCGTCACGCAAGTCATGGGCTGAAACATGCCACATAGGACACAAAGCCCTCACCATGGCTACAGCTTTAAAATGCTCTTGATTTATTGCCTTCTTTCTGCATGGCAAAATACATCAGGGCTTTCTGAACATCTGTGCCTGGCTTTGTTCAAGCAGCCAAAACACTCTACTGGAAAGGGACAATCTGATAGGATAAATCCTGTGAGGGGAAAACATGAGCTGGATTAGCCAGACTTCAATCTGGAGACAATTATATGTTCACTTAGGCACTGAATGCTGGAGATCTAGCAAGCTTGAATGTGACTACATAACTAAATAATGGATCAGGCATAAGGATGGACTCAGAGATTTCTAAAGAAGTACAGTGCTAAGTTCAGAGTAATCAGTTGTAATCATGAACTTCCCTGGTCTTCTCTTGAGCAACTAAGAAAAGTACGAAGAGATAGACAATATGACAAATACCACAAGCATGCAAGCTAAAATAGAGATAATAGAAAAAAATCAAACAGATGAAGAACTGAAGAAGGTCATGAAAATCCCCGTGACATACACTTGTTTATATGCTCTCTTCCACTGCACTCTCCCTAACTCCATACAGCAAGGCAAAGCTAGCCACAGGTACATTTCTGAAGCTCTACCTATTGGGTAATCTTGGGAGATAAAACATCATATTCACTTGAAAAGCAATCTGGTAAACTATGTTAAATAACAAAAAAATAAAAGATAACAGCTTTCAAAACGCTTTGTTTGCAAACTCAGCTGCCCTGTAAAGGCAGCAATAACACTGGCCAAAAAGGTTAGCAAAGGGAAGGGCAGTGATGTCTAAGAGTACCATTGCCCTCTGCCACTGAAAATATGTCAAAGGTTTTCACTTCACCTATTACTCTTCTCGGGAATGATGTCGGCAGGTATCTTCTGAGCTGTGCTGGATTCCTCCCGGCTAGCTGAGAACTCCAGAAGATTTCTGGTCCGGTGGCTGGAACTTGTAGTGGAATCAACTCCACTGGGATCCTTTTCAAATACACTGGAAAACATAATAACCACAGCAAAACATATCACATACATGAAGGGTCTGCAAGACACTCTACTGTGATGTGGTAAATACTCAGGTGGATAAGTTTCTGGTTGCTGCTGTTAGACGGACAAGGTTCATGTCATCTCTTATGTAAAAACATTATGTCTTGTATCATTATATTACTGTCACTCCAAGCATTAGTAGGCAGAAAAGCAATTCTGTTCTCCAGTTTTAATCATTTGAAGGATTTTGATGCTCTCGTTTTCATGTTCCCCCATAAGCTTCACCTGATGAAACTGAGATCAATCTGTTCATAACCTCGATCTGCAGGCACAATAAAATTACCTATAATCAAATCAAAATACCCCTGAACTTAAATTTTCATTGGCCTCAAAGCACAATTCACATAGTTTATATGAATACAATATGTAAGGAAAATATAGCTACCAAATTCCGTGCACCTGCAAGCCTGGAATATTATGCCAGACATCTAAAAAAACCACACATGAACCTACGCATGTTCTATTCTCCCTGGATTTAGGAACACTGGCAGTGCCGACAACCCCATCTACACAGCAGCAGCGGCCGTGGTCCCAGATGCCCTGTTGTCCTGGTCTGTGCTTGCACGGATTGCAGGATCTTCCCCTGGGGGCTGCCCATCAGCCACGCAGCACAGGAAGGTCTGCGCTGCTTGCCAGGCAAAGCAAGGGAGCAGCATTCCACATGGGAGCTGGAAACATGACCAGACAACTGCTGTATGGGAGCGACTGCATCCCAGTTCAGAAGGGTGATTTGCAAGTGAGAAATCCCAAAAGCACAAAAGCAATACTTCGAGATATCCTTCCCAGAGGCACACTTTAATCTTCGTAAACATGGTTGCCTCCTGAAATATGTATATTTACAAAGTCCCAATCTTCTCAGCTGACAACAGCAGAGCATCACCAGCAGCAACACAGTGAAAATACAAAAATACAAGAAGATGCCAGCACACCGCTGAGATCTTTGCCACGCACGTTGATCCCTGCTTATAGAGTACATTCCAATTCACACCCCATCTCTCCTGCGTAGCAGCACATAAACTCTGCAGGGGAAGAACTCATTTTCCTATTTGTTACACAGAATCATGTTGCAACAGGCAACGAATACAAATGGTAATAACAGACAAAGGCAAGGAGTAGCAAGGAGGGGAGATTAAATATTTCTCAAATAAGCAGAAGGCACACAGACATAGTTGCCTAGCAATCTCGTCTCTTTTGCCAACACGTTTGTGCTCCTGTGAACAGTAACCCAAGTCTCCCCGTGAGTAACTGATCACATTCTGCAGAGCCACCAGAGCCAGGGCAATCCCAGAACCAGGGTGACATCACTTGGACTGCCTCCTCTCCTGCAGGTTTCCAGGCAGCAGCACAGAATCAGGGCAGCAGCAATACTACAGGCTCTGTTTTCACTAGTGACAGTGGGTAGAAAAGTACTTACAGTTTCCTTACTGAACATGTACACTAGCATCCAAATGTCTCATTGCTTTTCCTGCATAGCACAGAAAACAGGATGGCTTACTCACAGCCAGCGTCAGGCTATCCATTTTTACAGAAGCAATCTCCACTGTCTACTGTACTTCATGACATCATGTTTCTTCTCTTCCAGTGAGAGCATCAGCATAGCTGGCAGCATCTCAAGCCCAGAACCAGAGCTCAAAACTAAGGCTGACGCTTAAAGGTATGCCACACGTTCCTCCTGGAAGTCACTCATCTGTGAAATGTCCCTACTCTACCGAATTTGAATGCACGAAACCAAGAATATCCATCAGAAGATCTGTAAGTTGCAACTCTCCCACAAACCATTTCTCCACAGCCAGAAGTGTATCAGGCACCCAGTGTGTTGATGGACCTACTGGTTCTGGCATTTTTTCCTGTCCTACTTTTCTCCTTCTCTGTTCAAAATGGAGAGTTTCTCTGGTTCAACATGTCATGTAATTATTTAGTTAAAGCTGACAAAAAACTGATCAGTAGGATTGTAACACATCTGCGTTTTTCCATGATGGTTCTTCCTTCCCATTTGCCTTGTTCTGCAAAGGCAATTCTTGTTATTTCAGGTTCCAGCTTGGCAAGGTGACTAGTCTGAGGTGAAGTGCCACGTGCAACACGTTGCTACTCGAGCTCACCCTGACCTCTGAACAAAAGTGGAGAAATACAAACCAAGTGCATGCAGGATAAAGATAAGCACCACCCTGCAATCACAGCTAATCTTCAGGTTCTGTAATTTAGTTGTTTTAGCTGTACAGCCACTCAAAAGCACACACACCTTATTTTATTATATCACTTTTGATAAAGAGGAAAAGTTTATTTTTACTCTTTGCATGCTTAAAACATCTTAATCTTTTCATCAAAATTAAAATTTCACTTTTGGCAGCAGCTAAGTATGGGATGTTTCAACCTGAAAGAAGGTATCTTCAGCAGCAAAAGACACAGAAGGAGGTGAAGAGAGTATGATTTGCCATCCCTACAGGCATAAACCACGGCTGCCACTTCTGAGAACACGGGCACCAACTTGAAGACAAAATATGGTATTATTTATGGTATTTATTCCAATGCCCTTTCCTGTATCAGGATTGTCATTTGTCCACAAAATGCCTATTTTGAAGCAGAGCTAGCAGCAATTTCTGCCTTAAGCTACACGGGCTACATTTGCCTCCTCTTTCCCATTCATTTTTTTAGGACCTTGAAGATGATCAAAAGCTTCATTCTCCAAGTCTCAGATATGTCTAAAAAAACCCCATCCTTGCTTTTTTTTGTAGCAAAACCAAAAGAACTTTCATCCAAAACCTCCGCAACTTGAAATACTGCCCTGCTTCCACCTACTAGTTACTTGGAGAGTTTTCTTAGGTTTTTTCCCATCTGCAGAGAAGATGTTGCCGTGTTGTATCACTTCTTCCCCTTCCTTTCTCCCACAAGAGGTCACTTGTGGAGTTTGTCTGTAAACAGGGCTCCATCTTCAGGTAACAGACAGGAGAGGACATGCAGGTGACGGTCTGTATCTTCTGACTTCTCAAAGACCTTTCCTTGCCAAATGGGTACATGAGGGCATGACACAGGATATCAGAAATATTCCTCCTTTGACATCTCAGATTGACACAGGGTGAAAAGCATGACTGAGGACCAGGGAATCCCTTTAGCAGCTGGGAGGAAGGACAGACTTCTCCTGCAGAGCTACATCTGGAAACACCTGCCCACCTGAGGTGTACTGAGCTTTACAAGCGTGAGGCAGAAGAGCAGCAATACAAGCTGGAACAGGGGGGGGTCTGCAGAGCAGATCACACCACCATGACACTGAAGATAAAGTCAATGTTAAGCATTTAAAAACATCAGGTAGAGGCGGCTAGAAACAGTGAAAAGGAAACGTAGGTGATCCCATTCAGAGGGAAAAAAGCTTCTGAAAATAAGCATTTTCAGCTAAGATATCAAAAGTTGCTTAAAAATAATGTTTTGATATGACAGATGGTAAAAGCACAGACAATTTTCTCATTCTGTTGGGCTACAAGACAAGAATTTGGAAAAGAAAGAGCACTTTGGCATATCTGCCCCTGCCCTACTTTAAAAGTCAAGAAAGACCAAAGCTGAGAAACGCCTTTATTAGACAAGATGACCAGCCAGAAGCTGGAAGCTTGAACATTGTGTGTGGCCATGCTCACACATCTGGGGTACCTTCCAAGGCTCTGCAGCCTGCACTTGGACATCCCAGATACCATAAGCATTACAGCCACAAACGCCCTCTCCAAGCTGGCTAAACTATCATCTTGTTTAAGATGCAAAACCAGAGCCAAGAGAAAAAAGAACAAACCACTAAATACTTCACGCAGATATCTGTTCAGAAGCATAGATAAATTTGATTATAGGAAGGAAAGAAAAGCAACACTCCTGTCATGGCTTCTCCAGGCATTCAATGGCACCTGATATTTAAGCTGTATTTTCACTGCTTTGGTTTCAATGTCAGTTTGATAAACATGAAAGCAAGTCTTGCCAGGAGCCTGAACTAAATTTGATTTGCAATTCTGGCTAAACAAGCCCTGTGCACTTCAAGTTTTAAATACTGACATTTAAGTTGTACAGTAAATTGTAGACAAAAGCCAACACTGATATCATAACAAAGAGTTTCCTGGGGACAGAACTGTCTCTGAATATGAGCTGGGATCTTTCCAGTGGGCTAAAGTTGACATTGCAAGGAGACACCAACCAAGGACATTGTCCTTTTCTTAACTGATTCCAGACAAGGCTGCCACAATGCCAAATGCTCTCTGGAAAGTACTTCTCGCTTCTTATTCCTGATGAGGGCACCATCTGCCGACAGCTAGGCACTACCTTTTTCTGCCATTGCATATTGACACCCGGAGTCTTTTTTTTTTTTTTTTTTGCTTAGAAAACGATAATACAATTATTTGGAAGTGGGTCAGCATTTATTGCCAGAGCTTGGGAAGGCCTGACACAAGCAGTCTCAGAAGCTCATTTAGGGCAAAACCTTTCCGTATTGCACTCCCAGCCCCGGCAGATGAATGCATGGAGAAACCCTGGGTAAGTTATCCCATCTGGCAATCTGCGGAGGCTCTGTAACTGCACCAGCAGCAGCAGGACAAAGCAAACAAGTGAGTACAGCCAGCCCAAGGTACAGCTCTGCCAGGAGGAACATGTGGCTGTGGTCAGTAAAGGGAAGAGGAAGGAACTGCTTCCTGCTCATGCAGTTGTCGTTTGTAAGAAAATCAAGGGTATTCAATTTTATTCGAGCATCAACCCATCAAGAGAGATTCTGAAAGGTCTGGAACCTGAACCCAGGTCCAAATGACTCAGCCTGTCCTTTTCCTCTTGATTTCTCTCTCTTCAAGGAGAAACTACAACACAAGACCAAAGGTGTGCTACAGAAGCATCTTCTAGCTTTGGGCCATCTCCAACACAAACATACATTCAACTCTGCATTGAAACGTACTCTCTCAGTGTCACAAACGTTAAAGTTTCCCATGT